TAATCATTATGTAACCAATATAAGTTACCATGAAGTGAATGAATTAACCATTATGTAACCAATATAAGTTACCATGAAGTGAATGAATTAATCATTATGTAACCAATATAAGTTACCATGAAGTGAATGAATTAACCATTATGTAAGCAGTATAAGTTACCATGAAGTGAATGAATTAACCATTATGTGACCAGTATAAGTTACAATGAAGAGAAAGATTTAACTTTTATGTAACCAATATAAGTTACCATGAAGTGAATGAATTAACCATTATGTGACCAGTATAAGTTACAATGAAGAGAAAGATTTAACTTTTATGTAACCAATATAAGTTGTCATGAAGTGAATGAATTAACCATTATGTGACCAGTATAAGTTACAATGAAGAGAAAGATGTAACTTTTATGTAACCAATATAAGTTACCATGAAGTGAATGAATTAACCATATATAACCAATATAAGTTACAATGAAGAGAAAGATTTAACTTTTATGTAACCAATATAAGTTACCATGAAGTGAATGCATTAACCATCATGTAACCAATATAAGTTACCATGAAGTGAATGAATTAACCATTATCTAACCAATATAAGTTACCATGAAGTGATGAATTAATCATTATGTAACCAATGTAAGTTACAACGAAGAGAAGGATTTAACCATTATGTAACCAATATAAGTTACCACTAGCTAATCGCCGTGAAGCCCTCGATAAAGTTAACATTGTTTGGTGAATAAAAACAAAGTATTTAAAAACCAACAGAAACGTTTTCCAATAACAATAGAAAAACTATATTAATCAAATAACTATGTTTGTATAGCGTTTCAATGTGCATATGATCTGAAAATAATCTTGTTTTGTACATTATACCATATTTGGTAAAATATTTTAATGAAAATAGTCAGTAAACTTAAATATAAGTATGTATGCATGAGGATGTAAGAACATGATACATAAATACGAGGATGTAAGAACATGATACATAAATACGAGGATGTAAGAGCATGATACATATATAAGATGATGTAAGAACATGATACATAAATACGGGTATGTAAGAACATAATATGTAAATATATATGAGGATGTAAGAGCATAATATGTAAATATATATGAGGATGTAAAAGCATAATATGTAAATAAATATGAGGATGTAAGAGCATAAGATCCATAAACCTCTACAACCACAAATTAAGGTGATCAATAATTTATCTTAAACTTTTATCCATTAATATTTCAACTTGTACATAAGACAGTAAAATGTGTTAATTTCAAAAGTTTTGAAAATTAATATGTTATAAAGTTATAAATTATTTGAAATCATACTTCATTGTATATTTTAATGAAAATTTAGAGTTTTGTGAGTCACAAGACCTACACAATGTGTAATTACGTTTTAAAAATGGGAATATGAATACTAAAAACCATATAATATCATACATGTTATAGTTTTACCTATCATTACGTTACAAATTAAATATAGAAAGATTATTGAAATTAACTGTATCTATAACAAATGGAATTGATAATAACCACAGATGTTTGAGTAATAATCATAATTGGTTGATTAATAACCATAGATGTTTGAGTAATAACCATATATGTTTGAGTAATAACCATATATGTTTGAGTAATAATCATAGATATTTGAGTAATAAGCATCAATGATTAAGTAATAACCATCAATGTTTAAGTAATAACCATCAATGTTTGAATAATAATCATCAATGTTTGAGTAATATCCATAGATGTTTGAGTAATATTCGATAGTTATTAAGATAAGGTTCTTGGGAAAGTAAAATATAACTAAATACTTTAAACTCCTACACACAAGGTTATTAGGTTAAAACTAGACTAATTTTCTAACAATGTTGCTGATTTGAAATAAGACACTTAGAGGATAAACTAGGACCAAACTTTATTTTAAACTTTACTCAAAATATATTTAGTTTTAAATCTCAATAAACTTTTGATTTCTTCATGTTTGTTTGTTGTTGAACACAAAACTATACAATGGACTATTTGTGTTGTGCCGGCCTTGGTTATTTAAACCCAATTTTTAGCATCATAAGCCTTCATACTTACCGCTGAGTCACTGGGAACATTTCTGTTTCAAATAGTATGATTCAGAATATAAACTAGTAGTAAAATACTTATTCATACAACTCTTAAGTTAAAATAACTAAAATTTATTTCCTAACAGTCTTGCTGGTTTGTAATAAAACACTTAGGAAGATAAATCAGGATCAAACTATCTATTTTAAACTTTAGGTGGAAAAATTTGGAGTGTTCTAATAATGCAGTTGGCTTAAAATTAAATCATTGGAGAAGATAAACTAAAAACTAAGTTACCTTTAACTCCTATCCATAAGCTTGGGTGAAAAGTTTTCGCTATAGCGCTAATAACGTGGTTGATTTAAAATTCAAGCATTGTAGAAGATAAACTAAAACTAAGTTACCTTTAACTCCTATCCATAAGCTTAGGTGAAAAGTTTTAGCTGTTACTTTAATAACGTGGTTGGTTTAAAATTGAATAATTGGAGAAGATAAACTAAAACTAAGTTACCTTTAACTCCTATCCATAAGCTTAGGTGAAAAGTTTTAGCTATTACTTTAATAACGTGGTTGGTTTAAAATTAAATAATTGGGGAAATAAACTGAAACTAAGTTACCTATTTTAAGCTCCTACCTACAAGGTGGAAAAATGTGGCTACTTGAAAAGAGGTAACTAATTCTACAGGATGTCACGTGGAGATTATCTAGTTGACCAAAGCTACAGCAGTATCTAAGATTGAGGTCATTTTGGCCAATAATGAATCAGGTTATATCACGTGACGACATTATAGAGCTCTACATAGAGAGGTCCTACTAGGTCACCGGGGAGGCTTCGGTCTTTGCTACCAAGATGTCGCAGGTCGAAGGTTATGGTATGGCTAACATCGTAGGACAACAAAGGCTAGAGACAGGGGTTTGATCCGGCACATTTACAACTTACTTGGCGTTCGAGATACTAGTTTGAGTGGACGCAAAACTCGGAAGGATCGCAGCATACGCAAATCTAAATTTTCGCTCTTCTCTGCTGTTAGGTTCATGATCCTGGAAGATAGGCATTATAGGTGAAAGTCATAGGATTTTTTGAAAACACTCCTAATATGACGTACCTATCGTATTGCTGAATAAGTAGACAACTGGATATATTTTTTTAAATAATTTACCATGCTTTGTAAAATCTACATCTACATTAAAACCACAAAGTGCACAGTTGCTAGTTATGTTTATAAGCACAATATAACTTCTCTTGGTCACGTGTCTTTCAAAATGGATGTATCTGTTCATCAGTTTTATTGCGTTATTTGTCTGTTAAAATTTCCGGATTTGTGAGTAGAAAGAAGAAGTTTGGATTAATCCTATGAACTTATTATTTTGTACTGGAATCACGCAATTCCTAGTTACAACGATAAATGAGAGTTTCAGTAACGTGGAGAAAAATAACACACAAAGTAATCCACATACTGCACGAACAGAGTAAGTACTGTTATTGATCGAAGTAACAATGAGAAGGAAAGCCATAGAAGCACACACACACACACATATATATATATATATACAATACACAACAATAAAGACGTGATATAGTGGTTATAAGAGTTTTTAGAAATTATTTTTTTATCTAAACGTTTAAAGTTTATAAAGAGACTTCAGTCAACAACTAAGCTGTTCATTTTTTCTTTAACATCGGACTATATTAATGTTTTTCTTTCTTACTAAACCATAACATAGAAATGCTCACAAAATGAATAGTACAAAAATGAATGTTGTCTTTAGAATCTTGAAGAATGAAACGTTAGAATAGTAGAGTTAGTTTATTAGGGATACAGAAATTATCATATCTATAGCTACAACGTTTTATCTAGTTAACCTGACATTATTAGCTACACCAACTATAATGACTGACCTCGTGATCTAGGTAACAAGAAAACCTAGCGAATAGGTTCATTGGTATTTAATTGGTTGAGCTTCATAATGATTAGCCAGTTATTTTTGGACGAAGATGACTGGTAAATAAATAATTTAATAAAACAAAAGTAAAAAAAAATGTCTGTAAAAGAAGTATAATGTGGATTATACTAATTAACATGAATAAATAGTGTTTGAAGCGCTACATAGTATCTATAGTAATTGTAACATACTATTGAGGTCATGAATATTCATTATTATATGTATTGCTGGCGGTGGAAACCTAGTTGTTAGATGTGCTTGACCTTAATTAAAGGTCAATTTTAGTTGGCAACAGCAATAGGTTGAAGAATTTTAAAGATTTTATAACTGCTGGGGATAACAAAAGAATTACAAATATCTTACATAGTAACATAAGCAATCAATATTCTAACATATGTTAGTTTACATTCGACAGATTAAGATAGTTTGATTGTACTATATTATAAAGTCATCTTCAAATTATAAAGATAAAATATACGTACGCAGTAATTCAACCTTAGAAGTTTGAAACAAAGGTTATAAAGGATACAGCTGTATACCATAATATTTAATAATTTTAGGTTTTAACTGTTTAATTAACAAGGCTTCCTTTATTTTTGCAGAGATTTATATTTTATCTCTATTAAGAATCTCAACATTGCCAAGTTGGACAGAATGAACAAGAGGCGTCAGAGTCTTAGTACTTCTTTGTTATAGCTTACCTTAACGTCTGCCAGAAAAGTAAGCTTACTCTAATCGTCTGCCAGAAATTGAACAGACAAATTAATTATATCCCCCCCCCCAAGGCTTTCTGGTCAACTGAGAAACTTTGGGGGTAAAGGAAATTTTACAATAAACAGGACGTTCATAAATACTTGACTGGTGCTGGGATTCAATTCGGATTTTTTTTATTTAATGTAGAGAAAACTTTGTTATCGGATTCCAGAGTAAACCCGTTTTGGGTTAATATTTCCGTTTTCAGTTTGTTGAGATCCGATTGAAAATATGCGTTACTAGAAGCAATGACCCTGAGATAATGATACAGAGTTTTTACGATGCCTAATTTTTGAAAAGAGTCATTGTAGGAGTTTCAAGATACGTATAAACCTGTGTGAATATCCTTACGATAACTAGAAGCGTGTATCTTTTTATCCTGTCTCTTAACAAGAACATTCAGGAACGGATGTGTATGGTTTTCTACAGATTCACTGGTAAGCTTAATGCCATGATGGATCATGTTCAGGTCTATAAATAATTTGTGATGAAGGGACGTGAAAATAGTTTGATATATCATTTTATCATGAATATGTTGATGGGAACGGGAATACTAATGATGAATAAGATCTTCAAATTGAAAGCTGTTGAAACTTTATAACAATACATATTATAATATTATACTATATGCCCTTAATTAGACGTTAATTTATTTTGTGAAAAGTTAATGAAATATAATACTATCCAATGAGTTAACAAGAGAATTTTGAACGTAATATTTCGACTCCTTTGATTTAATGGGTTAAATAGAAACCAAGCTCTTAAAATGAAACTTAAAAACATCGTGCACTTACCCTGTTACCACAACAATGAAGTCCATCATGTTCCAAATGTTGCGAAGATAAGCTCCTTTGTGGAGTATAAAGCCTAACGCTAAAATTTTTAATAATGATTCTACACAGAAAATTCCTAGAAAATATGGTTCCGTTTTTTCCTGCAAAAAGTAAAACAAAATCCAGGATGTAAGACCAATCACAGAGTACTAATTGATAAACAAAACTAACTGGTTGATAAAGTACATTATCCCATATAGGTTTTAATAAATATTATTTAATTAATCGAGTAGATTATGGGATCCAACTTATTATTATTATCGTTTATTTCAAAATAAACGCTGTGGAGGTTTAAAAAATTAAGGAATTTGAAAATATTTGGTAACATAAGTGATTCCAAATACTATTCCAGTGTTTACAAACAACGTTAAGAAAAGTCAGAGATATTTGGTGAACATCTCACCTATATGTCAAGTTTCTTGTTTTTGTATTTAAATTCTGAAACAAAAAGCTGATTTAAAAAATGCTACTTAAGCATGATATCAGATTAGGAAACTCGTCACATTGTAAACAGACTAGTTCAGTTAACTCCAGGGAAGAATATAAATTATGAAAGTTAATTCCAGGAAAGATTGTAAACTATGAAAGTTAACTCCACGGAAGATTATAAACAATTAAAGTTAACTTCAGGGAAGATTATAAATTATGAAAGTTAGCTCCAGGAAAGATTGTAAACTATGAAAGTTAACTCCAGTGAAGCTTATAAACAATTAAAGTTAACTTCAGGGAAGATTATAAATTATGAAAGTTAACTCCAGGAAAGATTGTAAACTATGAAAGTTAACTCCAGGGAAGATTATAAACAGAGAAACCATAGATACCTAAAATCCAAAGACAAGTTTAAACTTGTCAAGTTTAACAAAAACAACTGAAATAAGGTTGAATCGTTTACAAATGAAACGTCACGTTTAAAATAGCGGGAT